TGTTTTGATTTTGATTATATCCTTGTATAAACTTTTCGACGACAATAAATTTAATAAACTCAATTTAATAGAAACCAATTTATATTTTTTGTAATATATGTATATGAACTCTTCCATTCAAAAAAAAATTTTTAATTTATTATGTCTTTCGTATATATTGGGTTTCATAAAATAATTGCTGACAATGCTGTAATTTGTACTAATTCTAAGTTCCTCATAGCGCAATACCCGTACAACGCGATAGCCAGCTTCTATAGAACTTTTATTAAATCAACTTTTTTCAGAGTTTTTCAGAGCACGGTTTTCATATTACACGGTTCGTACTCACCGCGTTATCGACTGACTGTATATATGTAATATATATAAAATTCGTGATTTATACTAATTTTGAGTTGCTCATAACACGGTTCTTATACAACGCGATATATGATTTCCATACAACGCACTACGAATAAAAGCTTGAATTGTAAGTTAAATCCAATTTTCTTATATCACGGTCTCCATATTACACTCACCGCGTTATCGGAGAGTTGACTAAATAAATGGTTAATAGATTGATTTTTGTGTTACTTGGTTGCTATAGGTACTGACTTTGCTATCTGATCCTCTGGTTGTATTATATTAGATGATTAACCAAATGGTTCTACTCATTTTAACATATCTGTAGATAGATATAGAGATACAACCAAATTAAGATAAATAATAAAACATATAGTAGGTGCTTATATAAATATGAACTAAGATCTTTTCCTAGCTATCTACACTAGCAAATCTATACCCTCTTCGAAAAATAATACTGAAATTAAACCAAAACCGAAACAGTAGTCCAATTAATTTTGTGGCGGGCATTTGTATAAAGGCATTTTGATATAACATCGTCTCAAACGGAAATTTTATATTATCTGTCTGTCTCTTAATCTGTTTATCCGTTCTTGTTCTAAACTAAGTGGTTGATGATCCTCAAGTTAAATTTATTTATGCGATATAGCATTGGAAGCAGAAGCCGGTAGATTATTTTGCCGGCATATTCAATATATAGTATTGCCTATCAAACACAACATTCAGATGTAAATTTAATAAAGCTTCAATTAAATAATACATTTAATATATTGATAAATTGCATAAAAATTAATAATTATATATCGCACCCCTACAGGAAAAGTGACACAGCTCAAAATGTGTCAGGTGTCACTTTTTGTACGCATTTTAATGCAATTACATTAATTTTATACCCTAAAAAAACCTTAAGTTATTTTTTTATCTATAATATAAAAATGAATTGCAAAATGTGTTGGTAAGCGCATAACTCAACAACGCCTGGACCAATTTGGCCAATTTGTTTTTTAAAATGTTTGTTGAAGTCCAAGGATGGTTCTTACGGCGAGAAATAATCAAATAATTGCCGGAAAACCCCTAAAAACAGCGTTTTCGTTTTCACATATGAACGTTTTTAAACTATGAGTAAAGTTTATGACCCATAATAACTGAAATTTTGATAGATCGAGAGTGATAGGAAAAATAATTTGAATAACGCCCTGACCAAGTTGGCTTTTGGAACCAGTCAGTGAGTATGAAATTTTACTTTCTAATAATTTTTAAGTCTAGGAAAATAATAGAGTTACTAACCTCAAGTTGACAAGTGAACTGCAAATGATAGTTAAACAAATTAAAGGAATTTAAAGTGTGTGATACATAATTCTTATCTAAACACAAGAGAATTTCATCAACATATCTATAGTAAAAATAAGATTGAAGATTAGTCAAAACGTAGTTTTCTAGAATATGTAATATTAAATTTTTAACTTATTGGTAAATATCAGTATAGGTTATTAAAAAAAAACTAGAACTTTTGAATTGTAGACATGGGTACAGTACAACGTCTGTCGGGTCATCTAGTAATAAAATAAAATAAAAATATAGAGACACAATTCAAAATGGGGACGAGTTTTGGGGGTTCTGTATGCTATAAAGTGTAGATTGCAAATTTTAAATCCAAAACACAATACTAAGGCACTGCCGCTGATATGATTTGCATTTGATTCAAAGTCTGTATTTAATATTTTGACTTGTTAACTTCTCGTAGGATATAGTAATCGCAAAATTGGCATACCTTTAAAAAAATAGATGATGTGCGTTGTATGTGTGTTTGCATGCGTATGTGTGTGTGTGCGAATACAAATTTATGTCGACGATTTCAATCGATTTGAATAATTCAAAATCGAATTCGTGGGAATTTATGGGAAGGTGTGCTGATTAATTTTTGGCAAAGGTAGGTCCGGTCGTTTTGTAGATGCGGGTCAAAAAGTGCAAGAATGTTGATTCAGTTTTTGAGATGATGAAACACCCGATTTGAATGATTCAAAGACATTCTACTCGTTTTGACGAAATATTTTATTGATTTTTTTCCTCGAATATTTAATTCTGGGACGAGTAGTGTAAACAATTTGCCATGCACCACTAGTTTGTATTTGATTTGTATACTTGTTTTTTTTTATGAAATAATGCTTGCCTTTTTAAAAAAATTTAATTCGAATTTTGGAACACACTGATGTTGGTTTTCGAACATTTGCCCAGAGAAATCGCATTTCCCTCTATCGGTTATGTCCTGCTGGATTAGTCACGCACTGTGGTAGTGCAATGGGTTCAACGCTACGATATTTGTTCTAAGCTAATATAGGATGGCAAGTTTATCGTTTCACTTCGTTGATGTTGTAAAAAATAGTACTCTATACAATTATTTTTTTATATTAGTAAAGCATTGTTTGCTATGTATGTAGAACGTCTCCATATTTAATTTTAAATTATATTTATGAAGAAAATCAAAGAACCTTGTTTTTAGTGAAGATTCAAAAGCCAAGCTTGTCGCTTGGAGCATATGCTCAAGGATGGCGCGAATATTTTAGAATATGTTTAATTTTCTATATAGGATTGATTTGTTATAAAAAATGTCTAATTCGCTGCAATTTTTTACGTTAATATATTAACCATAACTTTCTGTACTCAACTTTTTACATTTAACTATTTTACTAATTGTATTATAATGCTCATTTTATCAATATGCTATGACTTACGGAGATACTTACCCACAATAACAATTACTAATAATTTAATTGAATTGGTTTGGGATTTTAAATTAATATAGGTTATACCTGTAAATAAGGACTGATTAGAGTCTGTAGCGTATTACAAAATAAAGTGCTTAGTAACTTAAAACAAATTCTATAAGAATAATAAGCTTTTAAAAAATATTGTATTGTAAATAATTCTAATTGTAATTAATTGAATGTCATGGTATCAGTTCAATTAGAACTGTATTGTTTAATATTAAATTTTATCTTTTATATTAAATTAAAATTTACGATTTATTATTTCTCAATTTTTTTTAATAGGCAATTTCAAATAAATCCTAATTATAAAAAAATCCTGAACAAAATATGCAAGTTAAATACATTTACTCTTTGTAAATGTTTATGACTTTATACATATAATTAATAAAATATCGCCAGTTTGAAAAAACATAATTGGACTTCATAGAATTTAATGTTCAATATATTTTTTTTCTAAAAATTTCAAAAGACTACTAGACGCTCCAAGATTTTTCTTATATTTTTAAAATATGACGATTTGTATTAGGTTCAATTAATAAAAATCGAAATATTAATATTAAACATAACTGTTAAAAATATAATATTTAACTTGGTAGTGATCAGTAATGTAAATTTGGGTAAGATTACTCCAGATAATACTAATTTGAAACAAAGTTAAGTTTGAAAATTTCTTCGAGTGGTAATAAGCATCTTAGGGATAGGAATAAATATAAAAAATCCAGTTCAATAGCGAATTTTGTGTATTTATACAGCTCTTTACTTGATAGCAAGTGGTATCTGTACATTACGAACTCTTATATATAATTTTAATATATACAATTTAATATAGTAACATCAACATATTGTTTAATTATTTATCAGCAAATTTGAAAGATGTGGTATGGACAGAACATAAAAGAACAATGTTATTTTTATGATTATGAATATTATTCATGCATAAAAGTTTTGCCCAATTTGAAATTTTATATACATTGAAATATGTAATTTATCAGAATTTATTGTACAAGTAGAAAATGCAAAGTGTACGAGTTAAATGAAATCATTTTGTTCAAGTGCTGAGAAATAATTAAATGGGCGCAAATTGTTCCCTTGTTTCAAAATTTTCATTAAATACATAATTAAAATTCTTATAAATTTTACAAATTTTTGCTTCTATTTTCTAGCAACTATCTTCTTATAATGTAATTAAAAATAATCATTATATTGTTATAACTATTCTAGTAGTATACTCAATTCTCATATAAATATTTTTTGATCTTAAATATTAAAGAACTGAGAAGTAAACACAAACTATTTTGACCAAGGCTACAAAGAAATATATAAAATACAAAGATCATAAAAGAACATGGTAATATTTATTGTAAATTATAACAAATAACTTTAATTTAACATTTATAAATTATATTGCAACTTCACGAATTTAAGTTATAACAATGTAATTATTTCTTTATGTTTAAATTACTTTTATTGTTTAAATATATTATTTAACAGCTCATATATGCACGATTGTCTTTTATATGAAAACTAAGCTATAATAGCATACATTTTCAAATGTCATAGGACAATTTGCCAAACCAATTTATGAAAATATTCCGTTAGAGTCAATAAAACTTTAATTCTCCAACATAGTTATTCTGCATTTACACAATACACTTTGATGACGTTATGTTTAAATGTGCAGCAAAAGCACATCTATAAATTGTAAATCAAATTAAATAATACACACGTAACTATAACTAGTTAAAGATATAAGGTAAACAATTATTTAATATCATACAATCTTGAATAAGTTCTAATATTGCTTCGTATTAACTAAATTGTTCGACGCACCTCACACTGTATTCAAATTTACATGGTTTTAAAATAGTCATCTATTTCGAATGACGGTTCTGCTCAGCTCAACTGATAGTACTCAGGTGCGAAATCGTTTGCTAGATTGCTAAGAAAATTGAAATCGGAAGAACTATTACTGTTTTCCGTCGGCTGTCCTTGTCCCGTTTCATAAAAATGTTGGAACGCGTTGTAGCTATCGGCCGTTGCGTCCGAGGAGGAGGCTCCGTGGGCTGTGTAGGTCCCGTCGACGTGGGCCGCGTGCGGCGTGTGCGTCGATCCGTAGACCTCTTGTTGCGCCGCGTAGCCGTCGGTGTAATCGGTTATGGCTGGTTTGTTGTGGGCCGCTGCCATTTGCTCCGCGGTGTAATAGCCGTGCTCCATCGGATGATCTTCCACGTATACACCAACCGCCGCACCGCTTTGGTAGTAATGCACGGCGTGGTGATGGTGATGGTGGTATTGTCCGTGGCCATGTCCATGCCCGTGCTCAGCTGTATCATGCACAGCGTACTGGCCTCCATATTGATGAGGATATTCTTGCTGCTGTTGAGCATGCTGCGGCGCTTGTTGGGTTTGCGACGTGTGCTGCTGCTGTTGCGTCTGGCATTTGCTGTTATAATTTCCGTAGTTATATCCGTACTGTGCCGCTGCCGCGGCGGCCGATACGTAATTTCTCTGTTGGCCACGCATTCGTTGAGCCTGCTGCTGCGTTCGTGCATACGCTTCTGCAGCGGCCGAAGGCAGCAATTGCTCCGGAGTTGCGTTCATCGCGTAGCCCTCCGCCGGTGAATAGCAGCCTTGAGTCTGCGATTGATGCTGCGCCAGTACGGGCGCAGTGGGTTTAACGCGGTATTGATGCTGCGCTAAGGCATCTGGATGGTATTGTGGAGGCACTGTAGTCGGCGGTTGTTGGACATAACCTGCGGATCGCATACCAGGGGGATTTACGTATTGAGATATTCTTTGAATGGGATACATAGCAGAGTTTCGAGATTTTGTTGTAATCTCTTCTTTGGCGGCGGCCACAGGGGAGTAGTTACCGCGATCGATTTCTGATTTTACTATTGGTTTCTTATTGCGAGTCGTCAGAGGCTCGTCATCTTCTGTCGGTATAGGTTTGGCAACATCAGGCGATCCTGAACTTGATGCGACACTACTCGCTCCATCGCTATTACTTCGGAACGTCCCAGTTGACGTATTATTGTTATTCGTTGCACTTGGCGTATTGTTGTTGTTGCCTCGCGTTAATGGTCCATTGTCGGAAACGTCGTCCAAATTCACTGGAGGCATTTCGCAACCTTGGCAACTCTTCTTACCACTAGGACCATCGTCATCGGGAAATTTGTCCGAACATAGTTTAGAACTCTTCCCTCCTTCCGACGCAGTTGAATCTTTATCGTCTCCATCTTCACCTTTACTTAACGTTTGACGTTTGTGCTTCATTCTTCTATTTTGAAACCATACTTTAACCTAAAAAAGAAAACGATATTGAATCACTATTACTTGATTACTAGTTGATTAGCTGTATATATATAGCCAATTAATTTTTTCATACAATAATTTAATAGTTTAATAGATGTATTATTGCTTTCAATTTGAAAATATAATTTCAATTTATTTTTGCACTCACCTGTCTTTCAGTTAAGTCAAGTGATGCTGCAATCTCGATGCGCCTGGGTCGACATAAATATTTGTTGAAGTGAAATTCTTTCTCTAACTCTAGAAGTTGTGTATTAGTGTATGCAGTTCTTAATCTCCTCGGTAAACCATTTTCAGCAACAAAAGAATCAGCTGCAAATTAAAAAAAAAAACAATTAGAGACACAATTATTTATTACAGTGTTATTCAATTTAGACATATGCAAAATCTTAAAAATATCACATGGTGTCGATATTTATAATTATTGGTTGTTGATAGAGTATTGAGTTACTAAACTAAATTGAAAATAAATTTACAATACTATTAAATAATTAATTTAACCGCACAAAATTGCTCTATATCTAACGTCATTGCTATAACGCAGAAGTTACTGAAAGTTTATGCATTTGTGATGATTTAATGCATCTCAGTTGTGAAACTGTCTGCCGGATTCAAGGGATTTCACCGCAACAACTAAACTGAACTTGTTAATTATGTCATTAGCACGTCACCAGGTCGTAACGTGCAGAGAGGGCTCAAACTCGAACATCTTCTGTCAGACTGCGCGTTGCAATGGAATGCAAACTTGAATTATGTTCTCATTTATCTAGTTCAAGAGAAGTTTCCGAATTCAGGTCTTATGGTAAGACTGACAAATTTAATTCGAAAAAAAACTCGCACGATTTCGCACAGTAATATCATGGATCGACATATTTTTATTTAAAATTAATATTATATGAAAAGTAAAACTTTATGCAAGAGTCGAACAAAAGACCGTAAGTATAGTCGGGTTTAATTCAAAATGAATTGATTCTTGATCACCAGTTTGTTTTACCAAGTATAGTTTACTTAGAACTAGAGGTTTTGCGCAAAATTATATCATATCACACAAATTATTTTCATCTGAATTGGAGTATTCAAAAAATTCGGCTAACACATTTTATATCTATATCTTCGTATCTGGGCAGCCTGATGTCAAGCAGTAGTGACATCGGTTTTCACTTGAAATATATATAGCAAATGGATAGCAATATGTTTCCAAAATAGCCTTTTCTCGTTATTGCTGCATCAATAATTAGTCTTCAGTATTATAGAAAATAAAATAATCAAAATGATCACATAGATACAGATGGGACAAATAAACACGGACAACAAATTTTTTGGAACATATTTGGTTCATGCAAGTTTACAATACTTCTACTTTAATACATAAGTATATGCGTTTCTTCTCCGCTATTAAGATGCATAATCATTCCTGTTTTCAATGTTACGAAACAAATCATATAGTCAAAGTTTAATATATGACTTATGTATGAAAATGGCGTGCGGGCGACAGACTGTTCAGATTCGGTAGCGATATTTCATTGAAAGGGAAAGGGGATTTTGCAAAAGTTTACGGGGGCCTCCCGCTGAAAGTTGTCCTTCAAGGTTTCGGCGGTGTAATATTGAAACGGAGTGACAAAGTATACACGCCATATGACGCGTCGCCCGCGTATGGGAGCAGGTGAGATTTAATATTGGATGTTCTATGCATCTCGTAAAGACTTCGCCGCTAGTAACCACACTGTTCTCGGCGAGATATTGAAGTTAGGAGACGCTTTCAGATGAATCAAATTCAGACAATACTTTTTTGATACGAATAGAAAATGTAGCTTTTGGCTTGGCTTTATTTATAGATTTGCGTATAAATGATTTTGCGTCATTTTTCATTGACTTTTGTGCTTCAACCGATTTCAGCTGCAGGTGAAGAGCTACATTGTCTTTTTACTCGTATTAATAGTTTGAGTCGAGTTTAACATAAGCATATTTTTGTAAAATTAAGTTGCTCAATTTCTCGTAAAATTAAGTTGTGCAATTTTTTATAAAATCTCTGCTGAAGAAGGGTAGAAGCAGGGCTTAAATTCAGCAGGTAGAATTATTCCACCACCATTACCTCAAAAACAAGTAAATTGATTTTTTAGCAAGACTGTTTTAATGTAGTAGGCATGAGATGTGTAACCATTTACAACCTTAGTTTATACAACGTTGCTATCAGGTGATAAACGATCGTGTATCATTATTTCTAACAAAAGTATTTTCTACAAAATGTATAATTTAAAGTGGATAGTTTGTGGTATTAAATAAGGGTAAAATACTTTTAGAAGTAAACTCATAAATCATGGTTATTGTATATTATATTATAATATATTGTAATAAAACAGAAATAAACTAAAAAGTATACTCTGTCGTTGTTAGATTTTTTTCGTTATGAGCACTGTTGTTTAGTTTACGAGATTTTTTATATAACTTTTAATTATACGTTATTTAATTATTTTGTAAGATGTATTGTTATTTTCAAGTTAGATTTAACAGTTTTTTATATATCGTCTATAAAAGCTTGAATGTGGGTGGGGTAAAAAGGATCAATTAAACATTTAGCTTGGCAAAGGTGTAAACAATAAGAAAATAGCCATTAAAAATTTTACAAGAGAGAAATTAAAAGCTATTCCGCTGATAAAATCTATACTCTGCTGATAAAATTTGATGAGTTATATACTTGACCCTTGTAAATATCTTTGAGAACTAATTAGATTGACTTTGCTATGGTAATTGTTAGTTAGTTGCTATGCAATGTGATTTTGTATTTTACATCTTTTAAGTCTGAATTTTCTGCAGATTTTTGTGGTACATTTAAGATTGTAATTTAAGCCTTTACTGTAAGCTCATGAAGACCGCCTTAGAGAACTCGCTGTTAAGGCTTACGTCTTAATAATGTGTAGTAGATTGACTCAGCTATGGTAATTATACACACTGTGATTTATATATTAATACACACTGTCATTTATATATTAATACACATTGTGATTTATATTTCACAATTTAATCTTGAGTTTTCCGCAGTCCGTCGTTATATGTTCGATAATTTACCTAACTTTACTTAACTTTAACCTTTCTGTGAGCTCTTTTGAGGACTGACTTGAGTGAATTTACTATAGTGATCGATAGTTAGTTGCAATGCAATGTGATTTTAAATAATACATACTTAAATTATAAAGAAATTGAAAAGATAAAAAATAGGTGGCCAATGCAAGGATAAACAGATCTTATGATATAGAATAAAATTGATTCATATAATATATGAATATGTATATTAGGGTGGTCCTTAATATGGACATTTTCGAATTTCCTTGCTCCCAAGGGCTCAAATGGTTCCAAATTGATAAAAAACAATTCTCTAAAAGTTTTAGCTCTTAATATTAACTTTTAGATAGTGCGCAATTCAATCAAATTTCGTATGGAAATAGCATGGAAAAATTTTTGAAAATAAAAAAAAAAATTTTTTTAGGTATAACTTAGCGACAAATGAATTAAAAGTGACATTTCCTGTCTTTTTTTATTAATAATTCAACGCTCTGCAAATTTTTTCAAAATTTACATATTAACGACCACACTAATGTACTCGTATGTATAAAAATTGTTTCATAATCTCTTATACCAAGCACCTCTGCCTGGCTGATATGAAAATATTATGTCAATGAGAAAAAAAAGTAAAGTTGTCTGTTGACGTATTAGATTGTCCTTAATATAGTGGTTATGCACTGTGATTTCATATTATATATACATTTTATTTTTAAAGTTTTCTTCAGGCTATCGTGGTCATTTTATTACTTAAGTTCAGTCTTTCTGTGAGCTCTTAAAGACGTAGGAGATGGCTATGCTTTGGTGATTGTTTGTTAGCTAGCACACTGTAATTTTATACTTCACATTTTAATCCTGAACTTTTCCGCGCCCGTCCTGGTATGTTTGCGCAATAATAATTGTAAAGTTTCGTAGCGGCGCGTCGCGTCGTCTAGGCGCTAGGCATCCCCATCCGCTGCGTGGCCATGATTGACGTCAGCTCATCAGTATTCCGCGCTCGTGATTGGATAGACGGGGGGCTGTCAATCAAAAAGTTTCGCATGACTCAAACCCGAAAGCATTTTCTAGAGTCTGTGACATAAACCCTCTTTAGCTCCAATCGTACATCCCTTAATCAAACACACTCGACTGCCGAATCAGACCGAAATCCTCGTGCGCCTTCCAGGGGGTGAAATGTCTTGCTTATCATAATGCATGTCTTTCCAGTTTCCGATTAGGTTTGTATCAATTAGTGGAGGATGAAGTGCATTACTGTGTCGAAGTCGGTGGAGGTTGTATCGAGAATTAAATCTGTGTATTATCTTACAGAATTCTGGTATATAACAATAAGTGACGTCATGCCTTTATATACAGTAGCAATTATTTTATTTTATTGATGGACAATATCAACTGCACATTTATATTTAGTATTTATTAAACAGTATCTTTATTAATATTTATTTAAAGTGCATTGACGGCCTTATATCCCGTGTGGCGAAATTGAGGCCTCACTTTTTTTCATTATTAATTCAATTTATTATTAATTTATTGCCAAAAAGTAAAATAATTGTATACCTAATAATTAACCGCCCGACGCTACTGATAGTGCATTTTATAACTTTATAATTTCATTTTGTAATAAAATTTGCAACAATATATTCATAAGACATGATGTTTTTGATGAAATATTCAAACATACTAATGTATTAATTAGTATGTTTAAATTGAACATAAATGTTTACTATATTAAAATATTTTTTATCTATCCGAAGACATAAACACAAATAAATAAAATACTAATAATTTGCGTTCAAATGATAGTAATTGGAACAGTAAAAAATAGATTTCAAAAATTATTTTGAGCAATAGTAACATATAAAGATAGAATAAATATAGAAATAATTATATTAGTTGTAGGGGAGGGCGGGGCACAAAGGTCCAATGTGACTTTCAATAATTACACTGTCTATCTGAACTAAAAAAACTACATCACAACACATAACATGTGTCGAACAAACAACTATCGAACAAGTTTCTAGTTAACTCCTAATTATATAACTCCAAATTAAATATGTTTTCTTAATATACTAAATTTACTTATTTTTTACTTTTCTGAATTTTGTCATTGCCCTTTTTGCCCCTTAAGCGGGGTAAAAAGGAATAGCTAGGTAGTAAACAGATAATGTTTTTTTTTAATTCTAAAAGGATTTTACGAAATAACAGCTACATCATTTAACCAATTTGGAAACCAAATTATTTGGGAACATTCTTTACAA